CTTCACCTAACCAGGATGGACCGGAATGTATATGCATACGGAGAAAGATTGTTTTTACTATATCACTTCTGAAAATATAATATTTGAAGGAAATATGAATTTGAGAATATTGCTTCAAGCAGCCACTTGAGGGTACAACCCAGCTCAACTTGTATTAATTAGTTATACATACCTCCTCTTAATCACCTAAAGAATTTTTTAATACACTCACTTGACGACGACGCGTATGGCATGAGTTAATCTCAATTTCCATGATTTGTAATATTTCATTGAATTACCCAAGATACTTCAAGCGAATATTAGCAGCAAAAATTAATCATCGGTATAATGTTTTGTAGTTCAGCACTTACATACACATACATAACGGCACTTAACCTTGCCAAATGCGTGTATTGGTTTGCTCATTCATTTATAGTTCTCTCCAAATTTCGGCATTCATTTCGTCGCCGTCTTCGCAATTTGCTGCTCCTATGAGAGCCGCATACTGAAGAAATTGCATGCACGTTTAATAAGAATTTCATGAGTTTGACAAACACACACACATATATATATCCACTCACGGTCACACACACACCCACAAGTCGACGCGTGGAACTTATTAATCAATGGCAACTAGAAAACACTTAAGTGACTCGCAAGTAGCAACCCAATTACACATAGTTCAGGTACAAGAGAGCTATAAAAGCTGAGCAACGGTAATTGTAAGACTTAGCAACTCATAACTCGTATGAGTTTAGGGTAAAAAAAAAAAAAAAAATACATAGTGAATTGTAGCGAACATTCCCACAAGTGGATGTGTTTGGAATTGTTCAACAGGCACACGAACATGTGCTGGTACTTGAGAAGTTATATGCGAAAAATGTGAGTGAGCACGAATATATTTGTTGTTGCGGTGAGTTGCTAATAATTTTCATTCACAAAGCACATTATAGCATTCTTTTTGTGATTGTGATTTTGACTTTGAGAAAAATATGGATTTATAAACAAGTGCAAATAGCATATAAATAGAAGAGTGTGTGACTTTAGTGGTGAATCGAATATTTATTGGTATATATCACTTAAACTGGTAAAATATAATTGTGTAAATAAGCTCTTAAATAAATAATAGAATATTAGTTGTAACATTAAAATTAAATATCCACATACTCTTCTGTATTAAATTCTACTGGATAAGAAAGTAGGGTTTAGGCATATTGATCAGAGAAGTGGTGATTCGAAGCTAGCTTCTAAGAAAGTACGCTGCTCGTTTATGACAAGGGTTTAAGAAATTTTTTCTTCAGGCACGGAGACGTATGAGAGCACTTCAGGCTAGAAAAAAGTTGGGGACTAAGTTACTAACTATAAATTATATTTGTAAGCAATATTTTAAAAAGTCGTGGTAAATTTTGAATTGGGGTGACAAAGTATTATATAACTAAAATTAGACCACTAATTACAGTAATTTGTAGTATATGAAAGTGTAGGTCCACATCAAGCGGTATTTGAATCCTCAGTCGCCAACACCTTCATTCGATACGAGTACACACAGTTGTTTCCTATGACAGTAGATTTCACTATGTGATCAAATATGACCCGGACTGGGTCAAAACGATAAATATTTTTCACTCAGAAAATATTTTATGTTCGTGTGAAGTCATATGTCACCAACTGTGTTTAGCAGCTGTTTTTAATGTTGGGAAAACATTGTCTGGCGATTTTTACTATGGAAAAAAATTAAGCAACGGATTTGCTTGAAACTTTGAGTTTCCAATGAATACATGGAATTGTTGCAAATGTTACAGAAGTGTTTTGGGGAGTCTACTCTATCACTAACACAATTATTTGAGTGGCATAAAGCATTCAGTAAAGGTCGTGAAGTCATCGAAAACTTTCCGCATGCGAGTCGTTCATTTGCCTCTGTTAATGACGATAATATCAAAGAAGTTAAAGAAACTGTGCTTGAACATCATCATGGTGGCATCACAATATTTCTTGTATATGAACTCAACACATTTCGGTTAATGGTATGTGTCTGAAGTGTGTCAACGCTAGACTCATAAAAAAAGCGATAAAAATATTGGTATTCAAATACATAAAAATGTAGGTTTTCGTTAGTCCGGCTCAAATTTGATCAGACGGTGCACTACTGGATATGATCAACGCACCCGAATTTGGTATTTGAAGACCAATAAATTGGTAGTGAGTTCCAATTGGTATTAGGGACGCACAGTTTGTCTCTAATTAAAAAAAAAAAATATTTATTCAATATTTGTCGGACACTTTAAAAGCTACCCTCATACATACATATTTATATACATAGGCGACTATGCATATTTCATACATTCAACCAAAAAACCATCAATGCTTTTTAAATCGATTCATATGGTTTGCCAAACAAATTATTGTACTTTTATGTTGTTGTATTTTTGCTGTTGCACACAGCTGTTACACACAATTTCTACTGCAAATGCACGCGGCGCTACAATTCAAACTCAAAGTCTTTGCAACTTTTTATTTTCACGCAATCTCAGAAATCCGCAAAGAGTTTGTGCTGTGATTGAATGCAGCCACATATGTTTGGCATACGCATACAATCACACACATATCGATATACAAGTACAATTTTATTACCAACGTTGCATTAAGCTACATTGGGTAAGCTATTGTTTGCCTTGTTGCCGCTGCAATTTCGATTGCAATTGTTTAGTGCCTGATTTTCATGTAAGTGTCTGCACGCTGAAGGCAGGCGTTCCCAACCAAAAAGAAAAAACAAAAAAAAAACACAATACTAAAAAAAAATCCTGCCTTTATAAATAGATATGCAAGTCGGAGGCAAAAGTAAACGGAAATATTCGCAATGATAAACTATGTTGCTTGTTGCTTTGCTGACAGGCTTCTTGTCAGTATAGTCTATGGTGTGAGTCTCCACACTGGTAAATGCTTTTCTGCTGACATTGTTGAAATTGCAGTTGCAATTGAATTGCGACATTTGTCTCACTTTTACATTGCACCAATATTTTGTTTGTTTCTCGGTTGCTCGTTTGTTATTGTTGTGCGCATAGATGCCAGCTGCTTTGATTTGTGTGCGATTGGGAGCAGCAGTTATTGTTTGTTAGTTTTTTAGCGGAAATTTCTCTACTTCCTTGACATTGATGTATTGACTGGTGTGACACCACTTCTATCTACATATACATATATAGATAGGTATCTATACATATACTACATACGAGTATATTCTGTTTCCATTTTGAAATTCATTTATTACAAAAGAATGCTGTAATCAATATTAGCGTAGTTGACATTTGAAATTACATGATAAAAAATGGCATCTAAATCTATTTGAAAGCGAGTTAGGCTACTAGAAGTACGAAAAGTTTAGCTCGAAGGCACTATTAACTTGCACCAGACTGAAATGGTATGTTATTTTGAAGAAAAATGTGACTCACGAAGTTCATTATTTTACTTCAAAGTAGGCTTCACTACTATATTGAATCTTATGACTGTGATGCGAAAACTGGACGCTTCTGAACTCGTAATTTTCATTCAAGTTTCAACGATATATTGCCAGGCACCTGAAGCTAAATCAATAATAGGTGTGTAATCCCAGAAATTTTCTGTTAGAACACGACTCGTGGAAGCATAAAACCCTCGCTCGTCGAAGCGCGTGAAACCGACTAATGAAACTGCTTACTAAAGAAATTTGTAAGAGATGAGCTATGAACAAATTGTGAAAAGCCCTCAACTGTAGGTAAGGATGGAAACCGTAATTTAGAAGAGATAGTTCTGATAGTCAGAGACTTACTAATGTACGTTTGTAGCTCAGAATATAACCTTACTTATTCAAAACCTCAACAATGAGTCAGTAGATTAGGCTCGTTTATCACAAGATGGTTTTAAAAAATGTTGCATAACTTCAGGCGCATTAAAAGTGAAGGTACCTGTAATATAATGAGAATATAGTATATATTTTATATGTATAAAGTTCCGAGTTATGTTTAAGTGGATTATTGGAGGACATGATAAGAAAGTATGGTTTTCTAATGTCTCTCAGAATAACACGAGTGTTGAGCGCTGTGAGTTGCTTTCCATGATATTCGTGTGTTTGTTCATGGTTAGACGAGTCTTTTCAGGTATTTTAGTTATCCCAATATTCCACAAGCTAAAACAGAATACATAATAATGTAAATGGTTTCATGTGAGCTCCTTCTATAAATTGCCGTCTACCTTTCGATGAGATATACACATGTTTCTACATAGGTTGGGTTAGGTCGTATGGTTGATTCTTGCAAAGGGTTGTGATGGATCTCACTTGGTTAGTTGTGAACATTGGTCTCGTGTGAGATCTTAAAACTACTTAAAATGGTTCACCACCTCCTCATAGATCGGTGCAGCGTTTTGGATTTGATGCTATTGCTAATGATATCATGCACTGTTTTACTAACTTTGAGCGCACAGTCAGCGAACTCGGCGCTTACGACAATTGGGCAGCTTCATGGTGAGAAAAGTACGTGTGCAAATTTCAGATCGATATCTCAAAAAATGAGTATTCGGTTTACGTATGTATAGATAGACAGAGAGACATGGCTAAATCGACTCAGATCGTCACGCTGATAATTTATATATGTACATACTTTATAGGGTCTTCGGATCTTTTCCCTGGGTATTATAAATAACGTGACAAACTTAATATGCCCTGTTTAGCCTGTTAAGGGCATAAAAAATCGGAGTTAAATCTTCATTATAAATACTCCCTGTATGTATGAATATTTTTATAGTTACATACATATGTAAAAAAAAAGCTGAAGGAAACACAAACTCAACACCTTCATAAAGGAACTGTCAATAAATAAATTTTATGTCAATGTGGAAGACACAAGACAAGTGTACAACACCAGTTGTCAGCAAGGAAAAGGTGCACCACTCTCTTGTTAACAATTACCTACATGCATACTAAATTCTATATGTATGTGTACATATATGTGCAATATATAGTAGCACGTGTGGTGTCTTTTTGAACTTACCGCATCATCATGCATAGTGATTGCTCCTCTTGCAGCACACTCTCCAAATACATCATATCCAAGTCGGATACAATTGCAGCGTTGATCACCATTATTTCGTCTCCCTTGATAATACCTGAAACGAAAATGCATAAAAATATGAATACAATTGAAGTATGCTACAATACTACATCGAATGAAAGAAAATCAGTATGGAAATGTAACACAAACACACACACACACATAAAGACACAATAAAGATAATAGAATTGAATAGAATGGCTTGGAATAAACTGCATTGTGTTTGCAGCCAAGTAGAAGAGGACAGTTTGACAGGCAGTGGAGTACATACCAAAAGGTAGCTGCTGTCAGCGTGTGAGTAAAAATTATGACACAAGCAATGAAATTCAATAGAAAAAAAATCAAACTAAGCTACATATACTTCCGCTTGTCTATACATGTATGTGTGTTTGTAAAAATAAATGTAAAATATTTATGGTTGTACTGATTTCAGCTTGATACGCATTGTCTGCCAAAGAATACACTGTTATATGTAGAACAGAGCACGGCTCATAAATGTTTGTAAGTGTCTATGTGTACATGTGTAGGTGTGTGCGCATATTTGAATTCCACTTGTTCTATACTGCATTGTATTACGACACTGTTACTATTGTTGACACACACTAACATACTCCTACACATGTGCCGCTGATAAGAGACGACCCAGCGCCTGGTAGAACATCTTGTAAGTGGTTGCATACAACGGGAAGACAAAGAAAGGCAAGCGCCTTAAACAGCTTACTACTGCTATCACTCATTGTTATTGCTATTGTTGTTGTTGCTATTCAAACGGAAATGCAAAGAAGCATGAAAAGGTGTAAAATTTGTATTGTATTGCTTTGTATGTATGTGTACATACCTATATGTGGATGTGTGTGGACATGGTGTAACCAGCCGGAAAATGGAAATACAAAGGCATTACTCCAACTTTGTTGTACATTTATTGCAATGTTATTGTAATGTGTTTGTTGTGTTTTTACATCGTTTTTGAACTGCATTTAAGCGGTACTTTAAAATGTCTTTTATACAAAAAAACTGTTAAGATAGGTTTTAGTTCTAAAAATGTAATTAAAAGTTTAGGTTTTTTTTTTGGGTTAATATCTGTGAACTCACGAAGAAAAAATTTTGATCCACACAGAAATAATACTGGAAATCTCAACACTATTCACTAAATAATCAAACATGTTCCAGGAAAGCGAATAAAATTGTTGTGATTTCGTTTTGACACAAATAATGATTTCATTAATTTCAAAGTTGTTCTAAGTATTTCACATAGCAACCGCTGTTTGCAACAAAAGGCATTTGTTATCAATTCCACTTGGACACCGGTCTGTTGTGATGTCCAGAACTTATAATTGCGAATTAAAATGACAGCCGTATATCGATAAAGCTCTTTGAGCCTGCCACAAATTTGTTGAGGTAGCTAATATTGTATGAATTCCACCCAATTCGTGTAGTTCGTAGAAGGAGAGACCTTAACCTTACCTTAACCAAGATAAAAGTTGCAAAGTTAAAGAGAAAAAAAAAAAGAAAAAGGTGTAGATGTTCCCTTCATACATGCTGCTGTGGCAATTTGAGTTCTTCAAAATATAAAGCCTCAACGAATGAGTACCAATAGGACAATGCTCTTTTATTACTCCTATCACAGCAAGTAATTCAATGGACTTCTTACGTTCATTTTTGTGGCAGAAGGCTCTTACTGTTTAGTCATCAAGGCTTACTGAGCTCACCCGTGGTCCACAGATCCATTAAAATTAATATGTAAACGCAGTAACTTAATACTACAAGTATTGTTAGCGAGCTCATATACACCTTGACTAAACTTTAGTACAGTGTCAGCGGGCTCAAGATCAGTGTTGTCGCTCTATTATCGAATTGTATCCACAGCTCTCTGAATGAAGCTGCACTACGACGCAGTGCATCTACTGTTACCTTAATGGCAGCCACTTCTGCTTGAAAAATACTAACATGATCTGGTAGCTTGAAGGTAAAGTTAATGGAGGGCTATCGACAAAAAAAAGAAGTAAATTGTTGCATTGAGATAAGCAGTGTTTTTGACACCACTTCTTAGTCTTACTATTTTATAAATAAGAGTTCATACTCAGTATGAAAACCGCAGGTTTTTTTTATCTTAAAAGATCATAAAATATTGAACACTATTATTTCCTACAAATTTCAAGTATTTGAAAACGAGATATAAATTTTCTATCAGATAATAGATAATAAAAGAAAAGCAATAGAAAACCGTTAGACGAAGTACTTTCGCATAACAATTAAGAGCTCTTACTTGGAGAACCTTTCGTAGAGGTTGCTATCAAACAATTTTTCAGAGTACAAAGCGAAAAAAAGCACGAGTTTTATTATATGTATATAAGTGATCGGCGTAACAAGCTGTGCCGATTTAGTCATGCCAGCCTGTCTATCCGTCTGTATATACGCGTACTAGTTTCTCAGTTTTCGAGATTTTGTTCCGGCACTCGTTCTTTACTCCCTAAGAATATTTGCGAAATTTTCTCTGCTGTTTTCATACATGTTAGTTTTAAAGGTCTGTATAGTCATACCGATGTATATACATATGTACCTAGGTATTTTAACATAAACACATAACAATTAAACATTTAAAAATGCCAAAAATTTTCAAAAACTGCTACTTGATGTAGTGATTTGCTTACAATATAAGAACAAAATGTGTGATTGTCAATAATTTCTATATCATATCAGTCCTTTTTATTAAAGTATTGTTATACAATTTTGTGTCACAAATCCACATTTAGGGAAAAGTAAGATATTTTTCCTGCATATATACCTGTTTATTTTGAAATATAAATATATTTAAAAATTCAATATTTCAAGGCGATTACGTGTTTGCTTGCAATACTGTCTCAAAAACAAGCTTTTGTTTGAATGCTTTAAAACCAAGCATATTATATTTGCTCAACTATGGCTGTCAACGGTATATATTTGCTTTTGTTTACCGTTATCTATACCAAATGTATTTACGCAAATATAAATATAGATATATGCACACATATATTATATTTATATCATAAATATGTATGTGTGCGTTTCTGCATTGAATTTTATAGTTTCCTGCTTCAGTGTATTGTTTTTGCTTTTTTCATTTAGATTTTTTTTGTTTGTGTTTTTTTTTAATATATTTTCATAGCTGAATAGTTTGTCTTTTGAGTGATTCGCCAACGAGCACTTTTCTGACACACATAAATACACTTGAGTGATTTGTAAGCAGCTCCACTAGAGCAACTGCATTCATTCAAACACGCTTTTCATTCTCTAAGAGGCTTAGCTGTTGCTTGCAAATGAATTTACATTATTTTTAAAGGCATACCGGTATGCTGAGCACACGCATACACACACACACACATGTAATTTACATGTTTGGGCGTGTATTTTTGTGTGTGTAAACATTTTTTAATACTTAAATCCCACAAAGTATGTGTTTGTGTGGGTATGTGTGTGCAAATTTGCGGTGCGCGCTGTGCTTTTGTCGGCGAAAAAGTAACAACAACAACAAAAAGTAAGAAAAGTATAAAGAATAAACAGACGACAGCATGTCAAATAAAAATCTTGAAATTTAATGTGGAAAGTGAAAATTGCTTTCGTCAACTCTTACAGCAGCTCAACGCTTCTCATCACTGCTTTCGTATGTTTGTTTTATATTTTCCGATTTTTTTGCGCTCTTTTCTCTGCGCAACTTCACTTTGGCACTCCACTTGCTTGCACCTGTTTTACAGCTACTTCAGTTGTGTGGAATTTAAATTTAGGGTGCATATTTAAAATTTTGACGAGTCGTCAAAAAGAAAGCCAAGCAGACTGCACCAGGTGTTTGTATGCATTAGGGTTGAGCGAAAAAATATTTTTTTTTTTGCTTAGCCTGATGGTCAATTTTGTCGATTATAAAAAAAGAAAATTTTTGGAAAAAAAAATAAAAATTTTTTAACATCTCACTTTTATAGTAAAGTTTCGAGTTAAAATTTTTATTTCGTAAAAAAATTTTGATAAGTGTTCTAAAAGCTGTGGAGAGTCCTATTTCTGGCCAATTAATAGTTATCAACTTAAACAAATTTTTTGTGGTCAGTATTGGAGTTTTTAAAAAAAAGTCTTAAACTACAAAATGCTTTCCTTAAGCGACAAAATAAATGTTGAGTCAAAAACCGTCAAATTCGGTAATTATAATAATAATAATAGAAATGTGAAGAGTTTAAACTAAAAAATTTTTTTTTTGCCCAAAAAAAATTTTAATTCGAAATTTACTTTAGGAGTGATGTTAAAAAAATTTCCATTTTTTATAATCTAAAAATTTTACCCTCAGGCTAAGCAAAATTTGTTTTTTCGCTCCACCCTGGTATGCATGTGTGTGTTTATATATACACACACATATGTGTGCATGTTTGTATATGTATGAAGTTGAAGTATGATGATGAAAAATGTTTGACATACCAAAAGATGTTCATTTTATGGGAACAAGAAAGAACAAAGTAAAGCAGGGAAGCGCGGCTAAATACTCTCTCACATGTATAACGGTGCATAAAAGAGCTTGAACACACTATTCTATAAACATATACCATATACTATGGGTGAGCATAAAAACGTCTGTCATCTGTGAAAACACTTAGGTTTAAGTGCAATATTTTCATCTACATATGTCTATATAAGCAACTACTGTACTTTTATGTAGTGCTTATGGGTCGGTACTCTCTTGGTAAAATTTACAATATGTCAAATTTTATGAAAACCATCAGTTCACAGTTACTTGTATGATTAACATGTGTTGACGTGTGTTAGCAAGCAGCCGCAGGATTTGACGCCGAATACAAGTGGGCTGCTTTTTTTCTAATTTTTTGCCTTAAATGACTAGCATGACTTGTAGTAATTGATAAAAGCAAGATAAAGCATAGGTTTAGGAGCAGCAACGCGAAGTGTACCATAGGACAGATATTTCATTAGAAATAATTTTTATAGGATAGAATATTTGGGAAAAATTATTGCAAATATTTATAGCGAAAAATGTATAGCAAAAATGTTATCGCAAAAAATTATAGCAAATATTTTATTAAA